GGGATAAAGAGGCGGCCATGGCCCGCAAACAGGCATGGCCCTGGGGTCGTGGGCGGGCGTGGATCCCTCTCCCTAGTGCCTGTCGGTTGCAACGCCGTTGTTTGAACTGTGGCCATCATCCATGGGCTTCTTCGTCCACATGCCCAATCACTCCTCATGTGGCCGGTGACCAGAACATGTTGGGAGCCGTGGGCGGGAATGCCGTGTCGATGCAGCGCTGCTCGATATAGTGACGGCGTGCGAAGCTGGGAGGAGGGACAGAAAAGGAGTCTGCACTCTGCAGAGGGGGGAACAGAAAGAGGGGCCCAAGTCACGGGTCCATCACTTGACCCTGCAGCGCGCCCTGGGAGCTTTTCTGCTCTCGTCTGCGAGTTTTGCAGCTTGTGCCTTTTTTCCCCTTTTCCATCGCTTTTTCGCTCCAAACCCAACTGCCCCCGCCGCTGTTCTGACAGAAACTGCAGCGCTGGCATGGGCTGGCCGAGTGCTCTCCGCCCGAGTTTTGTCAGACGGCAAGTGGCAGTTCCACGGCGCGATCCATCTCCCGGCGGGAATTGGCCGCCCTGACTCCCGCCCTCCGTCCACTCAAAGGTCGCGCCCCCGCCCTGCCCTCGGTCTGGCGTTGCCAGTCACTACTGGCTGGGACTGGTCCTGGGACTGGTCCTGGTACTGGTACTTGCCGGGCTGCCCTGCACCCACATTTTTCCCACGACCCTCCCCTGGCTGCACTTGCAGTTCCTTGTCTCGCTGCCCGTCCGGCCAGCCGTGTCGAGGGCTCCACCGCTTCCACACACACACTGTCCCTCACACGCCCCCGTCACAACGGGCCCTTCTTTTTATTTCATGCCCGGCACCGCCCGCACACCCCTTCTACCGCATTGCGCCCGAATCCGCAAAACACTAGACTAACCCGTCCGCTGTTAGATGGCCGCGGTCTCCCCGTCGACACAGCAGTCGTCCCGAAAACCAGCCCTCTCGCCCTCGCTGTCGTCGCTGCACGAGACCGACGTCGCCACAGCTGCTACTGCCACTGCCACTGCTGCTTCTGCTGCTGCTGCTGCCCCTCCTGCCCCTAGACAGACCACCACCCGCAGCCCGACGCACCACCGGCACCAACATCACCTGAGCACCACCTCCACTACGTCGCAGCGCTCCGGCGGTCTCCTCGCCCTCGCCGCCGCCGCCCTCGACAAGACCTTCTCGGGCATCTCGGAGCCCAGGATCCGCCATCGCCAGTCGTCGAGCCGTCTGTCTGTCGGCCCCGACTCGCTGCTCTCGGCCGGTGTGCACCCGTCCGCCAGCCCCGACAAGCGCACCCGCTCCCGGCCCGCCTCCAACTACGCGGCGCCGTCTTCGACGCTGCCAGGCGACAGTTTATCCTCGTCACGCGACGACCCCCCCTCGCAGCCCTACAGCCAGACCGACCCTAACCATCCGCCACCGGTCCGCCTCTCGCGGCTAGACAACAAGATGCATCAGACGTCGTCTAGGCTGCTCCGCATGACGGACGACGACCGTCCGTTTACCAAGGTAAGTCGTAGTGCCAGACGATTCGGCCCTCTAGTCCTAACCGGCCGGGCAGGATTTCAAAGATTTGTTCGCTACGCTGATCGTCAGCTTGCTACCGCTCTCGGCCCACCGAGTGCGTCTGACGAAAGTTGAGCACACGTTCTTGTCGGAGGATGCCATCAATAATCTCGGTTCTCTCAAGTTCTCGCAGTCCAACCGGATGCCAGATCCCAAGGACCCCTCGCGGATCGTGACCACGACAACCACGACGACGTTTTCCATGGCCAAGGATATGGCGCGGTCGATATGCCAGAGGTTTCTCGAGGCGAGGTTCATCGAGTCGGCCGACGGGAGATACCAGCAGCAGTACACGATGAAGGGCTCGGTCTGGCAGCTAACCCCCAAGGGCATCTCGATTCTGGACCGCTTCTGCTCGCGGAACGGCATCCAACAAAAGCAGGTGGCCGAGCTCATTGGCAACTCGCTTCCCCAGCTCGTCAGCCTGGAACGGGACGGGCAGTCAGACAAGCTGCTCACGGATCGGGGCACCATCGAGGTCATATTCCGGAGGTTTATCGGCGCCAACGGGCTCAATATCAAGTCGAGTGTCGGCTCGGCCGACTCGGATTCGCTGAGCGACTACCGGGACGGTATGACGGGCGTCAAGATGGCGGCCGAGCGCAAGGTGGGCGGCAAGGTGTACAAGGACACGTTTACCGGCAAGGCCGCCACCGACTGGCTGATGGACTGCTCATCCACCGTGGACAGACGAGAGACGATCGAGATTGCGTCGCTATTCGTCGAGTACGACCTGATGGAGCCCGTTCAGCAGGATCGATCACATATGATCCAGTTCCCGAGCCATAACCTGTTCCAGCCTACCAAGCACGCCATTTACCAGCTTACCCCCAAGGGAAGAGATTTGATCAATGGATCACTACCGAGGGGCCGCGCTTCGGAGAGCGAGGCTCGCACGGCGTCGAGATCGACCGGGATTGCGCGGGATTCTAATACGCAGAGGCTCGACAAGATCCTCAACGACCCGGCGCTGCGGCTGTTATTCCGCGAGAACCTGCGCGAGACACATTGCGAAGAGAACCTGTCGTTCTACCTCGATGTGGACGAGTTTGTGCGGCAGTGCAGACAAGCGACGCGGGCGGCGCAGAAGAACCCCAGCAACACGTCGTCGATGGACGGGATCAAGGAGATCATGGCACAGGCGTACGGCATCTACAATGCGTTCCTGGCGCCGGGGTCACCGTGCGAGCTCAACATCGACCACCAGCTGCGGAACAATCTGGCGACGCGGATGACCAAGGCGGTCGGACAGGACGTGGCCATGATTGACACGTTGCACGAGGTGACGGCGCTGTTTGAGGATGCGCAGAACGCCGTGTTCAAGTTGATGGCTAGCGTAAGTTTATCTCTTTTGTCGAATGCTCATCATTCATCTAACGATCACAGGATTCCGTCCCCAAGTTCCTCCGCAGTCCGAAATACGAGCAGACGCTTAAAAACTACGACTTTGACACGATTGGGAATGCCGGGCGAGTACCAGAACGCAGCCAGAGCCGATCGAACCGGAAGTAGGGAGTAATTAGCCTTGTGGGCGGATTTGCGGATAGGGAGGCGGTTGCATTTGTTGCATAGGGCGGTGTTGCACCACGGCCTTTCTTTTACACATGGTTGGCGATTTTGCGAACTAATTCCTCCGTGGCCTTTTTTCTTAACAACACGATTTCCAGCACACGGCGTTCCAAGGCAAAGCTGCTCTTTGAAGATAGACGGGAGCCGGTCGGGGCGGCGCAGAGCCTTTTTCATATGGCATAGGGCCGGCATTGGGATGGACGGTCGGACGGCCGAAGATGGATAGTGACGGGGGGTCACACATAAACAGCTTGAGCATTTGCGGGGTGTATATACGGGACAGTATTACGGAATGTGAATTCCTCAGTTTCTTGCGTGTCTGTGTTTCCGTGACGGATTTGTTGTGTTTTGTCTCGGTGTGTCTTGGAGTGGTATGGGTAGGATTTTGTTTAGGAGGGGTGGTTGTTATAAGAGGATGGAGGAAGGGATCGTGTTTTTCTTCCAATCGTTGGTCTCTCGTTGAATCGCTGTCTGCCTTGTTTTGTTGTGTTTTTCATCCTTGACACACTCGTTTTCATCATCGTCGACGGCGATTTATCGCATCGCATTTCATCAACCGCGGACTACCTACCTGAGGTAGCCCCTTTTCAGGTACCCCTAGCAAAGCAAACCAGGGAGAGCATCCCAGCTCAACCTAGCCCAGTAACAGCCCAAGCAAGGAGCAAGGACCCAAGACCAGAAAGAAGAAAAAGAAAAAAAAAGAAAAAAAAAGAAAAAAAAAGAAAAAAGGAAAAAGGGAGAAATGAAGACGACAATCGCGTACATCATCCTCACGGCGGCGGGGGTAGTTACGACGGTACAAGCAGCGCAGGGACAGGGGCAGGGCGAGAGCATAGGGGCCCCCTTTCCAGGTGTCAATACGACGGGCCTGTCGACCGAGGGCGTCACGAGCGTGGTGTCGGTCGTCAGTCGGTTCCTGACGTACTGTGCTGCGCCGACTAGGTTTGTCTTCGGGACGGGCGTGTACGAGGTCTCGCAGCCGGGGACCGTGACGGTTACGGATTGTCCTTGTACTATTACTACTGTAGGTATTATACTACTGGTTTACAACTTGATTTCCTCAAATGTTGTTGCTGACATGATGAAAAAACTAGACAAGATGTCTCTCTGCAGACTGCTACTACAAAGGCACAACCGTCATGTCCAATGACGCTTTCGGCCCGCTGCGGACGTCTCCTAGCTCGCTTGACACTCCCAACTCGAATAGACGTCCCGGGACGGATCGAGGGGATGGTGATGGGGACGGTGGAGAAAAGGGGCAGGAGAAGGGGGGGAGTGGGTTGGCTGTTGCTTCATCGGCGGCGGCGGCGGGGGATGGGAAGAGGGGGCGGGAAGGGTTGGTGAGGGATCTGCTTGGGATGGTTGGTGTTTTGGGGTTTGTTTTCGTTTTGTAGTCTTGATTTTCTTCTGTGTCATACGGGAGTTGTTGGTGTGTCAGTGGGTGGTAATTTGATTTTGTCTTTGGACTCCTTCCGCTGATGTGTTGTTGGAGTTGGAGCTATGGGGTTACAGGTCTGATAACTAAGTCAAAGGGGGTTGGGGAGGTACAAGATGTGGCTAGGCTTTACAGCAGAGCACGAGTGTGGCATCTCTGCGAATCCCGGACCTTGTTGTTCAGAAGGGGGGTTGGCTATTGCGGCATCTGAATTCAACGTGCACAAAAGACGAGATTGTGCAGATAAAAGATGTCGATTCAAATGTGACTTATCTTACTGCGGAATTTGTTGCTGTCGGGCGTTACCGCACTGGGTTGCTTGACGACGCGACTCCTGAACCACGACATGCAGGTGAACCATTCGCATTCCAATCACCACATAAACAGTGATAGCAGACTCTATACTCATCAAGGTCCGCTGGCTCAATGGCAGAGCGTCTGACTACGATGGGTAATCAGGAGGTTCCAGGTTCGACCCCTGGGTGGATCGAGATGTCAACAATGTTGACTGACCATGTTTATTTTGCATCTTTTTATTTTTATCTCTCCCTCTTCCGCCTACGTTCGGCTCGAGTTTCGTATCACTTCATTTTTTTCGTCTGTCCTCTAACCTCGTGTTATTCTCTGCAAGACAAATGGCGCTGCATTACCGACACCACAATCAATAAAACACACTCAGCTCTATTTATCTTCAAGTAACAGTCGTAATCATAGCTAGGGGTATCATTCATTCATCCAAGGAAAGAAAATAGATCATTCCAACTCCGCCACAAACGGTCCTGATAGCGTCGCGTTCGTGGATGGACCTTGTCTTGCACATCCTTGCCACCCTCTGAGCGGGCCGGGAACCATACCGGCCGTTTTGTCCTCACCTACGATATGTCCCGGGTAGTACGCAAAGTGTTTCTGTTGCGGCGGGGGAGAAGGCGTAAACCACTGATCTAGCTGAGGCGAATACCTAGGTGATTGAGACAACCGTCCCAACTGCTCGTAGAATTGCCAGGTCTGCTGACTCACGACCCCCAACCCGGTCTCGGCGGGTTTGGCCACCAGCGCCGACGCCCCCTTCGAAGCAGGCTGGTTATTCTTCCAGGACGGAACCCTCCCTTTGGAACTAGCAATACTACTCCCCGCCGACGACCCGGCTCGTTTCCGCCCCCCCGAGGACGACGTCGACTCGTGGCTCGTCACCAGACTTAACCCGCCGATCGCGCTCAGGGAATCCTCGGCCATGGTCGAGTCCCACGACGAAAACGATTTGTTCTGGGTGGCGATGGCGGCCTTAGTCTTGAGCCGCTCAATCAGGGTTGCGTGGCTGCGCTTGAGCGTGCGCTTGACGAAGGTGCTAAGGAACATGTTGCAGCGCATGTCGACGTCCTCGCGGATGTACAGGCCGACTTCCGGCGCGCCGAGGCCGAGCTCGATCGGCTGGGGCGGCTCGTCGGGCAGGCGGCCTTGGAGGGTCCATTTGTCGCGGATTGCTGGCAGAGGTTAGAAAGTGGCTAGGGACATAAAGGGTTGAGAGAGTGACGAACTGAGCCCGGCCGGGGCAAAGCAGTGCGTTTGCAGCCCGTTGGAGAGATCGTTAAAGGCACAAGTGTAGGTGACGTCTCCTGTGATTCCCGGCAAATATGAGATCTTGTCGGTCAGCGAGTACCACACGCACTGGACCTCATCGGGAGGTGCGTGTGGCGGCGCCGGGATGGGATGGCGCTCCTTGACCAGCGGGTTGAGGTCGATCATCTCCTGGTGGTCGTGGAGGAAGTCGAGCACGATTTCGCGCGAGATGTTGGCGGGGAGGGGCGAGATGGTGGTGAAGACGGTTCGGACCGACATCTTGCTCGACTCTTTCCTTTAGGTCCCTGTGGAATGTGTGTGTAATGAACTTTGTCTACTTGGACGAAGCCAAATAAATCGTAGAGAAAAGAAATGAAGACGACGAGAAAAGAAAAAGTAAAAAATTCAGGTTGTAGTAATCATCTGGACGAGAAGCATGATGCTTTTCTGTGGTCACTCGATCATTCTCGACAGGTGTTAGTGATGGGTCAGTCAGCACTCCAAAAAGGTCACAAAGCGAACCCAACAATCTGGAAATACCCCCAAGTATATAGTTACCTACCTACCCATCCCGCGCCCCAGAAAAGGTGCCCCCAAATAAAACACCAACTCGTCCAAAGAGCAAACAGGTCGTCAAGAGTCGGAGACACGGCTCTCCGAGGTGCGCCAACGCGGCTGCGCTTCTGGGCTTTCCCCGGCCGCATGGTGCAAGCGCGGGCTGTGCCGCTGTCGCGGGTCCCAAAATAGTTTTCTTTCTGGAAGGGATGGCGTCATTGGCCCTTGTCTAGAGTAGAATACCGATTTGCATCGGCGCGTTTTTTATTGTCGTCTATAATCCGTATGTGTTTATCTTTGCAAGGCGAGCCGTCGCAGAGATTTGTGTTTCTGTATGCATGTCAATTGTTGTCGCTAGATGGCAAACTTGAAAATGACAACTATGTATTTCGATGTCGGCAACTTCCGAGCGAGAAGCCAAACCTTGAACAGCTTGCCCAATTGGGAAATCGGTATTCGGGTTACACAGCGATCGCAGCCCTGCGCTGCGCAGCCCCAGTCAACCTGAGCCTTCTTCCCCTTCCTTTGCCACCGACACCGCAAGTCAAGTTCAAGTCGTCCGCGCCTTCCTGAGCCCAGCTGAAATGTGTTGCATACTCCCAAAGTGGCATACTGATTTCAGACTTCAAAACACACCCAAATGGATATCCCATGTCCGCGCCGTAGATAGGTCATCGGAACGCTAAGCATCCGCTGCGAACCGTCTAACCGCTGTGCAGATTTCAAATGACTTGCAGTCGTCTTTCGGGAATCGGGAGTGAAAACCAACTAGGGGGGTCAAGGGGGCTGATTTAGATGCTAACGTCTTCACACACACACACACACCGAACGACATCTGTAAATGGCACGAGACAACGGCCAACACCGACATCCATGTCAACCCGGAAAGGTTGTGTGTTACAAACCCGTCTCCTCTCGGAATAATAGTGCTGTGGTAACTTCCAACACTAACGTTCAATCGAACTTGGGCGGCAAGGAATCTTATCTTCCAGTCTTCCACTACCTTATGCCCCAACAGCCTTTTGCCCAGAACAGTCTGCTAGGGGCCCACTTATCAGTTCCAAAGGCTGTTGCGAGGGCTGTTGCGAGGGCTGTTGCAAAGGCCGTTGCAAAGGCTGATGGGCAGGCTGTTTGTTGTAAATACTGTTAGCTGCAACAGCTGTTAGGTAGGCTGTTGGGTGGCTATTGGTTTGGCTGTTGGGTTGGCTGTTGCGTACGGATACGTTGTAAAGGCTGTTGCAAAGGTTGATGGGCAGGCTGTTTGTTCTAACTACTGTTAGATCCAACAGCGATCCAACCAACAGCTGTTAGGCCCTCAACAGCTTTTAGAAGGAAAATTGGGGGACAGCCAAATCACACTTACGAGAGATTTAAAGCACTGGCTATGTTGACACCCCAACAGTCTGTTTTGACCTCTGTTGACCCCCGACCCCCCCCCACTGCAAGGTAGTCAGGATTCCGTCGCCCCAAGACTCTCAATGAGAACTTCGTCCCTGATTTTCCGCCTGTCGTTCGTCCCTTCCCTCTTTGTTGCTCCCTCATCCACCGCCCCACAATTCTGAGAGTATAAACCCCCCCTCGGAATCTCTGACTCTCCCCAGTTCTCTTCTCGGTTGTCTTCTCTGGACGTCGCAAATGCCGTTTCCAACCATCTACGGAAGACCTCGTAAGGTGGGCGTACGGATACTGACCTCCGGGTATATAAGATCCAGTGTGACAGCACTTCAGAGAGTTGAGGGAGTGATGACATCTTGAGAACATCCCATCATCTACCAACGCCTTTGCCCGCAGACAGCAGCAAGGTCACCAGCCTAAAGCCACACACATTTCATCCCCCACCACCCACGATGGACGGCATCAGCGGGAACATGGCATTCTATAGAGAATATATCTAGAGTTGGTATATCCACACCCCACCCATCATCCTACGTGTTCGTCTTCTGTAGGAAACAAAAAAAAAAAAAGAAATTGCACATTTACATCCCGTGTGTGTAAAGTTGTGAAACCACCTGACTTGGCCAGCCACCGTAGAACTCCTTGAAAATACACCCCCCAACATAAACAACCCCCAGATACTCGTAATCGAGATCAGTTTCGCCATGCCCACACCCATGTGACCAAAAAAAAACTCCACGGACGAACCTCCTAAACACTCGGTATCTAGCACCAAGAGACAAACCCCCATAGACAGAGAGGATGAAACCGATTGTTAGAGACGAGTTACCAGAGAGAGAAAAACAAAAAGGACATGCATGAAAAAGAAAAAAACAACCAGAATCACGCCTGTCTTGATGCATATATCCGCTTTTTGTCTTTCCCTGGCATACCATGACCAAACTTTGCACGCCTGTGCTGTCCGCGCCCATCCCAATGCACATGAGTGGGTGAATGCCTCGGCTCCCTATCTGCTCGGTGCACTATCCATCGTACCAACCAAGAAGGGGGGTATCTCTCCGCGCTGCAGACCTCACAACCTCGCCAGTCAATCTTCCCGCTAGCCACAATCTTCTCCAAAGAGATGCCTGGCAAACAAACATCGCTCTACTTGCCACCGCAAGAGCCTAGATGGAAGTAGGCGCTGCATCCTTGCGCCACCCCTTGGTGCGCATATTCACCTCGATAGCCTGCCAAATCTGCTCCACCACCTCGCGATCGCGCCAGCGGCTGTTCTCGGACCCCGGGATGCCCGCGTCGCGCCAGTGCTCCACCTGACACGCCAGCACACGGTGACCAAACGCCCGGATGCTCTCGGGCGGCTGCTCGCCGCGCCAGCCCAGGTACACGCCCAGCACATGCTTGAACAGCTCCGTCGGGTTGCTCCATCGGTAGTTCTTGAACTGCCACGCCTGGCCCGTCGTGAACACAGCCACCACACGGTTCCAGTACTCAGGCTTGAACTGCTCGGGGCCCTCGACCAGGATAAAGCGCATCGGCCGGTTCGGATCGATATCCTTCATGAGGCGTGAGACGTGGAGCATCGACGCCGTCGAGCTGTGATCCGGCGGGCTGTACCGCCCACCCTCGAGGAAAGACTTAGCGTTGGACATGCGGAGGAGCGCTGACGCCGATGGCGACAGTAGAATAATAGGATCCGGTCGCCGCGCCGGCTTCTGGTTAATAGCCAGTGCCGGATTATTGGCAATATTTGCCGTCGTCCCCGTTCCTGTCGGCTTGCGCGACATGAACGGCGCGGCGAGCTTCCGTACATGTGAAAAGTCCTTGTGTTTCAGGTCAGCATACAAGCCCAGGTATCCCATCGTGAAGAGGCAAACACACCGTAGGCTTGATCCCCCGCAACACCGTGTTTCTATCGCCCATGCCGCGCTCCCCGCTGTATATTTGCTCCAATCTGGGATCCAACGTTCCTCGCCCCGACCG